ATGTGTCAGTCTTTCATTAACATATATCCATTTGGATTTTAATAATAAATTATTATAAATTAATAACATTCTATTCGAGATATAACAAGTTATAAAAATATATAAGATGGGCTTAACTGTGCAAGTGTTAAGTCCTTCATCAACAAGTATACATTTAGATATTTATAATAATTTATTCAAAATTAATAACAATCTATTCAAATTTTAACAAGTTAAAAAAATTGATACAATGGGTTTAACTATATGTGTCAGTCATTTTTTACAAGTTTCTACTTGACTTTTTACAATAATCTATTAGTGATTAACAACAATACATTTAGATGCTTAATGAGTAAAATGCATGAAATTTTAAACTTCTCAAATTGTAATCGTCTATGTCAAATTAACAAATAACATTAGTAAATAACGATTGCAATTCATAAATAAACATGCATTGATATGTTATAACATAGAAGTGGATATAAGCTTAGCTTGCTACTTATATATATATATATATATATATATATTGCATATATAGTTAAAGAGTCATGAAATTAAATCCTCTCTTGATCACCTGAACCAAATATTTTTTAAATAAAAATATCACCAATGCTGAAGCTTCAACCGCTGGCGAGGCTCTAGCCACCTCTTTGCAAGTAAGGGTCCAACAATAGTCTGGCGATTGATACCGTCAATGGTGGGGAGGTGGTTTTTAGGGGCAATTTAGTTTGTTGACATCACAAATTAATATTTGTCAAATATTAGGGACTGTGTTACAATTTTAAAGTTAATTAATCTTTGGCTGATATTAATTTGATAATAAGGTCCTTGATTGTTATTTTCTCTCAAATTAAAGAAAAGCAATTAATAATACTCATATAATTCTCTTTATAAATCATTTATATCAATATCAATATCAAAAATAAAAAAATAAAAGTATATAAAATTTTAAATATACACACTGTATATAAAAATTTTAAAAATAATGTCATATTTTTTTATAAAAAATAATTTTAAAAATATGTTTTAAGTATTATTTAACGAGTCATATATTAATTTACAAATGAGATTAAATAAATTTTTTAAGACGTACTCCTGCGGTCCTATTTATAAATCATTTCTACCAAACTCATTAATATCAATACAATAAAAGTACAAGGAATAAAAGTAAGCAAAATTTTAAACATGCCCCTATATAATAAATTTAAAAAGAAATGTCCTGTTACTTTTTTTCTCTCATAAAGGATAATTTTAAAAATACCTCTCAAAAATTATTTAAAAAGATGTACTATAACTTATAAATAAGATTAAATATATTTTTTAAAATAGAATTTATAAATGGGACGGGACGGAGTACCTTGTAAATATTACATTTTGTATGTAACCGAGCCCGTAGCCCATCGGGCCATCTGCAAGAGGGTGCATATTCTACCTGTTATCGCCTCTTCAGTATTACTTTTGTCACATCCCTGCGTCTCCAGGGAGTTGCAGAAGGACGCCTAAGCTTTCAGGCTCCAGTTCCAATACTCCACGCGTCTATAGGGGGTTGAAAGACAGCCTAAGCCTATATACACCTCTAATTTAAAATATTTTATTTCAAAAAAAACGGAAAGACTATTTTTAATGTCATGGATTATAATAAAAATAGAATTAATATCTTGTGTTTTACTATTAATTGTCGTGACAAACAAACGACGAATTTGGAATACGAGGATTTGGATTTAACAATTATACTTAATATAAGTATTAAATATTTATATTATTTAAATTATTAAAATTTATACCAATGATTATAAATTTATATTTCATTTAAGATTAATGAATGAGTAAATACAATTGAACTTTTAATCTAGATTAATGAATGGATAAGTAAATTATCCTTGTCTTATTTTTTATTTTTAAAATATACTACATTTAATTATTAAAAATTATAGTTATGTTAATTAATTTTTATTATTAATCACTCTCATTAACTACATATAATCATTGATATCAATTTATTTTTTAATTTTAAAATTATTTTTAATTCACATGACAAAACATATTTTTATTTTATTTTATTTGAAAATTAATTTTAAAAACTGTATTATAAAACAGTTTTTAAAGGTAAAGAATGAGGACAGATACGAAACGGGAAATGTAATTTTTAAAAATAAAAAAAAAAACACAAACTAAACAGGCGCTTTGTATCCATGACATTCATCCCATAATTTATTTAACAATAACTGCAGGGCTTTCTTTTCTGAATTTTTAAAAGAAGTCACGGAAAGGAAAAGACACGTGCTCATCATGATCCGTGTTGCCATTATTGAAATGAACCGCCTAATGTAACCCCGGCTCATGATTACATGTTCTCTAGCTTCGGAGCTGGGGGTTGCCCAGAGTCGTGGATGCATGGAAGTACGTCGTCACTGCTCACACTTCAATATTGCCTTTTCGAGGGGCTACAGTTTGCTTTCGTATTAAGAGTCTTCCCCATTCAAATTGGAATTATGGGATTCAAATACCATTGCGGGACGTCGATTTAAAAGCCATCCATCTGTCAATCATAAATTCGGAAACGTGTCTGCAGGCTGGCTCATCTCTTTTTGTGACATGTAGTCAAATCAGCAATGCTTTCCTCCATTCGAAACTGCTCTTTGCTTCGCAAAGTTGACGGAGGAGCAGCGAGGGAACTCTTCTACTCACCCTATAAGTGGATGGACCATCTCATTCATGGTTCCTCTGTTCATCTAATTCGATAGCAATATGTGCTGTCAAAAAAAAAAAAAAAAGTAAAAATGCGAACTACAACAGAACAAGCTTACAATCGTCCCCAAATGCAACATTGACTGAGCCCTGTGTCACGTCCCACGTACGAGAAACTTAAAGAAGACCTTGATTGTATAAGCGAATGTATTGAATAATGGCCGTGTGAGAAAACAACTTACAGTCACACCCGAGTTTACTGAATAGGTGGAGCTTTTTGATAGGCCACACTCATGACAGGCGTGTCAAAGATTAGTCAAAAGAGCTGTCATGTCCCACGTTAAAAAAATTTAAAAAATATTCTCACTCTATTAGAAAATAAGTTACATACGTTAATGAGTTAGTTTTTTTTTTTAAATATTAGTTCCATAACACTTGCATTTTTATTTTTATTATGCTATGTTTTTAAGGAAAAATAATAAGTAAAAAGCTTATTAAAACATTAATATTAAATTAAAAATTTTAGTACTGAAATATAATAAAAAGAATATTAAAATTAAAAAACATCACTGTTAAAAAAATTTTAATTTGACATTAATATTTTTATAAAATTTTTATTTATCATTTTTCCTTTTCTTCCTTCCAACCAACATCCATAACTAACATAGATTTAGATTGTGTAGACATGCTGTGTCAAATCATTCCTGTTTTATTTAATAAATACATGTCATATTTCATTATTAAGTCAAATAAAACAAGAAATTTTTTATAAATCTAATATGCCACATCATTTGTATTGTGTAATAAAAACGTCTCATATTGTATTTGTTCTGTAAAATAACACTTAATGCGTCACTATTTTCAATGGATTTATTTTTTGAAAAAATAATAGTTAAGTTTTAAAATTATAAATTGATAACAGTTAAATTCTTTTTAATTTTTTCAAAAAAATTAGTTGAAAACATCGATCATGGTAATTACAAATCTAAGAGTTTTAATTGTAAATGAATATTTAAATATTAATTGAACATTTAGATTGAAACAAAATTTTCTATTTGTAACCATTTAAAATGATATTTACAATTCATTTCATAAAAAATTTTGTTGGGACCTGACTATTATTAATTTAGTATTTTCAGACTTAACTGATGTTCTCCCTTATTTGTTTGAATGGATTGCCATTTTAGCTTCTTATATTTTTTCTCTCACACGTTCTTACTGGCAGAGTTAATTTATATGGACAGTCATTAGACATCGTGTGTCTTTATCGGATAAAATATGAATGATAGAGTGGATCGTGTCAATGCAAGAATTTTTCCACGGATCAGTGAAAAGTTCCAACCTTTTTAAGTCTGATAATTTGTTGTCACAATCATTCCATTCAACACATCTTACAGCAATAAAATGTTCGCTCCCTAAATTAATCTAAGCGGGTTTTCTCGCACGTTAACCAAAATCTTTTGATGTACTGCCTCGAAATTTATTTTTAAAAACAAGTTATATTTAAAATATAAATATAAATATAACGAACTATAATTTATTTATAATAAATAGGCCCGCTGGTAGAATCTTTAAAATTTAATTTAATTTAAAATTTAATACACCACTCTTCCACTATAACTTGGACATGATATAAGCCATGGACGATGAAAAGAGAAGCTACAAGCGGATATTTTGCGATTAAGACGCGATCCCGTTTTCCAGTCAAAAGAACAGATTAAAATGGGTTGGAAAACAAAAAGAAGAAGAAGAAGAAAAAGGGAAAAAAATAATAATCTGAATGTCAGAATTTTAAAATGAGATGTAACGAAAAGAGTGGTGGAAGATTACAAGGGGGAAAAGAAAAGAAGGTGGAAGAGATCCATTTAGTGCCTGTTTGTTTTGCGTCCAGAATCGATTAATGGATGTTTAGTCGATTTTTAAAACAAAATTAGCCAAACAGCATATAATTACCATAATCGATTAAACATGTTAAAATCAATTTTTTTTAAAGCTAATTCATGCCTGCTTTTGGTTCTCATTTTGCCATATTAATTTGTCAATAATTCATAATTATGTTAAATAAAATTAAAAAATTTAATAATATTATATATAAATTTATTAATAATTTAATTTTTTAAAGCAATGTCTTTCATAATAAATTATACAGTTAAAATTAATTTCAGTATCCAAATAAATTACGTTATAATATAATTAATTATAATTATAATTTATTATTTAATTAATTATTTTTATAATTTATTATACCAAATTAAAATTTAAACGAGCAGTGAGGCACGTCGGACGTGACCATTTACACCCAGGGAGGCTGGTGCGTGCAAATATCAAGCAAGAGCACCTCTAGGCCTCGCTCCCTATCCTCCGTACCCCCTTGCGCCATCTATCCCTGACATCTCTGGGCTAGCCACCCAAGGCTATGTTATTTCAATACAATACCCTTCCAATCTTCTTCTGCTTCGTCGCCTTCGTCTTCTCCCAAAGCACAAAGCATGGAAGAGGTGTGGAGGGACTTGAATCTCGACCACAACGGAGGCTCCAACCCCGCCGATTACCGCCGCTTCATCTTCCAAGACTTCCTCGCTCGATCTCCCTACGATTCTCCCTCTTCCCAGGACATCTCCTCCTCCTCCCTCTCCCCCTCCTCTCCTCTCGTCACCGCCCTCAGCCTCGGCTCCTCCGCCCCTCCCTTCCGCTTCGTCGACCCTCTTCCTCAACCCGCCGCCCACTCCCTCCCCCCGGTCCTTTCGTCTTTTCCTCCTCCTCCTTCCAATCTCTTTCCCTCCTCCCCTTCAGTTTCTGCCTTCCCTCATAAGAGGCCCCTTCCTGAATCTGATCTTACTGATCCCAACCATCCTCACCATTATAACCACGGTGATGGCTCGGGAAGTGAGCGCCACAAGCGTATGATTAAGAACCGGGAATCTGCCGCCAGATCCCGAGCTAGAAAGCAGGAAAAGACTGCCTTCTTGATTCCCTCGCTTTTATTTATGAATCTTCAACATATGTTTGTTTTTGAAATCCATGCGTCTCTCTTGTTTAAAGGTGCTTGGTTTTCCCTCCAGGCTTACACGAACGAGTTGGAGCAGAAGGTCGACTACTTGAACAAAGAAAATGAGAGGCTAAGGAAACAGCAGCAAGAGGTCTGGGCTTTATATGTTGCGCTTTTCGAACCGAGCCTTTCGTTTCTTGTATGGCTGCTTTCGTGAATCAATGTAATGTGGTGTGTGATTGCTTCCCTTAATTATTATTACTTCCAGTGGTCCAAAGCGTCGGCCTCCGAGAAAAAGAAGAATCCTCTGTTTCGGACGTCTACTGCTCCGTTTTGATGAGTATTCCTTTATCCGTATCTCCGTTTCATTGCTCCCTGGACCTACCCTTCACAGTAAATGCCTGCTATCGATGATGGAATTTCAGATATGATGGGAATGTATTTTTGGTTTGGTTGTTACATCACTTGTGGTGGTTTGTGTAAGTAACGGGCGGGTGTGTTCAAAGAAGCTGCTTTTGCATTTCCTAGAAGGCGCCTATTTTGATGGGTGGTCTTGCTCTTAGTATGCTAATTATACTCCAGGATTTGACGTTATGTTTCTTTTACGTGTTGGTTTTTCCCTAGATTTGCTTGGTGCAAAAAGATCGACGTCGGGTGGTGCAAGTGATGACGATGCTAAAAATGATATATATCACTGGTTTAAGAATTAGACAATCTCTAGTCAGATAAGATTCAACGTAAAATATAAAGGATGGGACGATATCTATGCTCTGAAATTTCTTCGCCATCGCTATTAACATCTCTTTATTTCTTCAATTATTTACGAGTATTGGTTTACGGAATGTTACTGACCAATAGGCAAAGCCTTTTCCCTCCAAAATCAAGGGGGTCGCTTTGTGTTGTGTTCGATTTATGTGAGGAAAAACTGAGTGGCTTCACGTCCCAATTTCGCTTGTCGGCGTTTAATTTCGGGGAAATGAATACCCATGAATAGAGGGTCGCTGGATATTTTCTTCAGGTGTTAGTGATTTGATCAGCTAATAAGAGCCTAAGGAGTTTATGGAGTGTCGCTGTTTTTCGTCAGTTAAAAATTCCATCTAAACGAAAAGGCTGTGGCATTTTTATAAATTATGAGTGAGAATTTAATTATATTTTTTGTTGAAATCAATATTAATTTTTTTTTAACTTTTAAAGTTTGTTTCATCAATTTTTTTTAAAGAAAATGTCAATTTGCATATCGGTTCTCATGTACTGGAAATTTGATGATAACTCCTGAACTAGTATCAGGATGGGACTCAATTAAACAATCCATGCGTGAGAGAAGTCTTTCTGTTTTGGACTGTCAGGTCGAACTAATCGGACGCACGAGCTGGGCTGTTCAGTGCAATTCGACAGTAATAACTGATGCAGCGTTAATTGCCTCTTTGCTTTCTATTTCTATTTTTTGTTTTTAAAAATTATTTTGTAATATGATTTTTAAAATTATTCTTTTTTAAAAAATAAAATGACAATGTGTTGGGTTATGTTAATTTTAAAACATTTTTAGAATTCTAAAATAGACTAATAGTGATAGTTATAGGTGGTTAATAATAATAATGATTAATGATATAAATTGATTATAATAATTTTAATTTTTAATAATTAAATGTAGCGTATCTTGTAAACAAGAAAAAACAAAAACAATTTGAGGTTGTTTCTATTTTTTTTAAACGAAAAATGAAAACAATTAGCCAATCAAGTTTTTAAATATCTGTTGTTAGAAAGAGAGGCAAAAAAGGCCTCAATATCTCTTTTTTTTTAAAAAAAAAAGATATGTAAGCTGTGGGATTCGAATCCCCTCTATTCCCTTCCTCAATGTATTCGTTTATACCAAATCCCATCCATTCATTTAATTATTCACTTCAATATTTTTGAAAATAAGTTTATAATTCTTATTTATCATAATCATCAAATCAATATTATCAATCTCATACCATTAAATGAAATGAGTAATGACATAGATGAATGACATTGGGTATACTATTATTAGTTTGGATACTTGTTTATAAAGAAATTGTGTTATTTACATTTTAATTTTTTTTTAAATTTAGCATATGATAGCATCAAAGAAAATATAAGCAATTTTGGAAAAATACAATCATTTTTAGTTTTAAAATACTATACTTCTGAGTACAATCCCGGGTTTATTTTTCCCCCCTTAGTTTCAAATGAAATGTAGCGTTTTTTTTTTTTTTGGGTGGGGTTGAAAGAAGAATTATAACAGAGGATATTAAGTTATTTTCATGTCAAGCAAGAGGTTCGCGGGTGGGTTATAAAGATCAAGACCTGCATTTTAATGATACTGCCACCTACAAAATTACAAGGTTTATTTTGAAGATGCCATTTTTTTTTTTGCCAAATTTAATGTCATGTTTAAAAATATAAAGTATTTTCATATCTTTTAAGAATAGTTAATGAGATTTTTTTAAAATGATCTTAATGAATATTCAAAATTAATGATGTTTTAATATTTATTTGTAATAAAAATATTAATTGTTTTGTTGAAGGATAGAAATTATTTAATATTTGATTATATTTCAAATAAGATTGCTTTTATTAAGAGTATATTTGTAAGAAATAAAAAAAAGAAAAAACAAGTTTTGATATCTACACTTTGCTCATATTTTGTTATAGGTTCTTGTATTTTTTTTTTATACTTTAGGTCTCTACATTTTTATTTTTAATGTTTTATATTCATTTAAGGTGCTTACACTTTGATCATTTTAGTTATTGAGGGACTTAGAATACTAAAAATGAAGGTGTACTGATGTAAAGCACTAAAAAAAGTATAAAGATCTATATAGCAAAATATGAATAAAATGTAAGGATTAAAAGTTATGTTTTTTCCCAAAAAAAAAAAAAAAAGCAATGATAGTATGATAGAATGGCTTTTCATTTAAATTAGTTAAGCCGTAGCATTAATTCAACAAGATCCGTTGTCGTCCAGCGGTTAGGATATCTGGCTTTCACCCAGGAGACCCGGGTTCGATTCCCGGCAACGGAAGGACAAAGACTCTGTTTTTTTTACCCATTGTCAAGGGCTTAACCAGGTGGGCCCGGCCCCTTTCTTAGATGCACCTATGAAACAGATCCAGTCATGTTCTAGTTGGGTCACTATGGTGCCCAAACCCGAATGCCAACCACACTCTCTATGGACTGGATGTGAGACAGTGACAGGGTTGTGGCTCTGTTAAGAAGATTAATCACATCCACAAGATCACTGCTGATCTCCACTGCTTTAAGTCCATGCCCCAACAAATTTTTTGCAATCCTCTCTTTGGTGCTTGGGGTCGTGGTATGCCCTGTGAAAAACCTGTACTTTGACAACTAACATGGTTTCTTTAAAGCGGATCTGATGCAATACCATTTTCAATCTTCAATTTAATTTAACATTCGCTTACGTTATTTTTGCACTTGAATCCCGCTTGCTTTCTTATTGGGATCCAATGCTCTTTCCATTTTATATGGCTTTTGATTAGGTTTCGTTGACCTAAACGTCCCTATAATTGGATGATAAAGATCCCAGGCAACGTTTAGTTCTTATTTAGACCGTTCAGGATATATTTTATTTTCTATTCCAAAAAAAAATTAGAATTGTTATAAATACTATATTGCATGGATGTTCATAAACTCTCAATTCTTGACCTTCCATATCTCACATTCTATAACCTCTCTCTAATGAATGGTTTTAAGAGTTTTTCTTATATTCAATACTCAAAAAGGTTATATATTGTATATTGATGTGAATTAATTTTATTATTCAATCTATTATAACTCTTGAGTGAGGTTGAAGGCTATAAATAAAGGACATGTACTACAGATTTGTGAGACTTGTGTAAAAATGAATATTACTACTCCTTTCTCTTTAATTCTTCATTGTTTTGTTCATTTCTCTCATCTTAGATCTCTCTTATATTTTGTTCAATTATCTCTCATAATGAAAAATATGACTCACATATCTAAGTTAGAGCTTCGTTTTATCAAGAGTCTAGAGATGATAGCTTAATTGAAGTGACTTTTTAGTTGTTTGTAAATTGAAAAGCACTTTGGCCTCCAAGTGAAGTGCATATCATTTGGTTATTATATGTTAATAAATATCTTTAAAATTTGAAAAAGGCAGAAATAAAAAGGATATGTTTGCTTACCTTAAACATTCAAGGAAGAGATTGTTGGAATACAAATATGTGTTAACGTTGGATGAAAATCCCCTTATATATTTATTTCCTCTCAAAGCACAATAAACATCCCTAATTAATATTATGTTGAAATTGTAAATCAATCACAAATCATTGAAATTGTAAATTTTATTATTAGTTAAAAAATGTTACAATAAACTAAAAGTTTCCTGATGTTAATAGATATATTGTTGGCATAACTTGTTTGATTATATTGGATGATATATATGATGTAAATAATTATTGACAATATATATTTATATCCAATCCATTAAAGAACCAAAAGATTCTTCATAAATAGCTAACGTATATATTAAATAATTAGATAATTAGTATGTGTTGTTTGTTCTCAAATAGATTATTATAAAAATATCACTAGTTATCGTTTTGAATGAATCTTCACATTTTTTGAATTACATCAAATTCATATATATGGGCCGATTCACATAGCATATGAACCATATAAGTATTTGATAAATTTGGTAAATGTATCTATACAATGGTTGCGAGTATGATTATTTTTAATTTTCAACTTGGAGTTTGCAAGATTGTTTGAATAAAACATCATAGTGAATTCATAATTTCCAAAGTATGTGATTCAATTTCTATTAATAATTCGAGTGAATTTATATCTTAGGCTTTACAATAATATACTTATCAGAAAAATAGTTGAAAAGCCTACTCTACAAAGTGATTTAACAAAATCATTTATTAAAGCCTCCACAAAAAGCTAGATCAATACTTATGAGAATAAAATTTTTATTTTAGCATTGGCATATTTTTTGTTACATGTTGCAGCACTTATACATATTAAGCTAATAAAATTTTCTTACTAAAATTAACTTTTAGTCAGGAGCCATATATTTTTCACATTTAAATGTGCAATATTTATTTTTAACATTCCACCACATTGCACATAAATGAATTTTTAAAGAAATTCGGGAATAAATGTTACGTGAAAATTCGTTCTTCTTCTTTGTCTCTAAATGAAACAAAAGAATGTTTTCAAAAGAAAATAAATGAAATTATGAAACTTATAATATATGATGAGTTGATTGTTAGTTAACCAAGTTTTTTCAATATAAGGGGGAGCAAAAGAATAGCTGAAAAAGAAAATATATGAAATATATTATTATCATATCCTCTCAAATAATAACATGAATCAGAAGTTCATTAAATGCATTCATAAAATATTGCAAGATATATGCCATATGCAATTATATATTGACAAAAATAAAAATTATTGAATCTCATATTCAAACTGAAGATGCTCCAATTATTATAAAAGAAAGTGAGGCATGCCTGAAGCATGAAAGATCAATTGATTCCAAATTTAAATATCTTGAAAAAGAAGGTGTATATAATTAAAATGATTATATTAAGGAGGCAGACACTCTAAAAGAGAGTTAAGACATAACTAATTATGAAAACCTCGGAAGAGGTTCAGGTATTTGAAAGTAATAAAGAGATTTATATCGTTATGTCACAATTGAAAAAATGGAACCGAGAATATAAAGTTGTCAACAACAATTTTAATAATAATATCATGTAATCAAATGAGGATCTTATATACAAATATGGTATAGATGGTAGATAGAGAGATGATTGGCCAATTAAAAAATAAATAAATGGTGCAATTTGAGTAAAATTATATTTATTTTAAATATATGAAAAGTCATGGACCTGTAATCCAAATACCTGAAGTGTAAAATTATCATGAGATATATAAACATTTTCACAATGGTCTAATAATGATCATGACCAAATAGGTTATCTTGTGGTGAATTTTTTTTATTATATCATTAATTTAATATTATATGAAATTAAAATATGATGTGTCTACTATACATTATAAAACATGCATATGATTCACTAAATAGTGAAATTTACATAAAAATCCTTGAAGGATAAAAAATGCTAGAAGCATGACTAAGACAATTATTTATTATGTTAAGTGGATTAAAATAATCTAAATATGTATAATTAACTCAATGTATATGCTTTAAAAGAATGTATAATTTCACATTTTACTCAACTTGTAAATTAAATTATTGAATATCTCAATGATTTCAAAATCATTATATTTTATGAAAATATTTCTATAAAATATATTGAATTTAATGGTAAGCACCATATATTTATTTTATGATAATATTTATATATTTTGTTAATGTTTCATTTGTTGTAATTTTGGAAGCAAAATTAGGTTACTATAAATACACGATTGATTGAACATGCAGATACAAGATATGTCATGATGATTTTTAAAAATAATTGTTCTTTTATGATCTCTACAATACATTAGACAAATAGAGTATATATCGATAATTCAACATATCCAAAAAATATGTTAAAAGAATATTTGTATGATGAAAATGCATCATGCATAAGTTGGCTAAAAAGAAGATATGCTTGAAAAAGTATTAGCAACAATCACATTTAAAAAATTAGTATTATCTATTAAGATACAATAACAAGAAATGATATTATTATCAGGAGGAATTAAATTGATATCGTCATCATTAGGAAAAATGAAGTTCATGCTATACTCTTTTTTTTCATATCCAAAATTTTGTCTCAGAGAATTTTTCTGATAAGGTTTTTAATAGGTAGCTCCAATATATATTGTGTTTTTTTTTTCCTTCACTAGGGTTTTATCTCATTGAGCTTTTCCTAATAAAATTTAACGAAGCACAATATTCATCCATAAACATCCAAAGGAGTGTTATAAATATTATATTGCATATAGGTTCATAAACTCTTCTAACTCTTGACCTTTCAAATCTCACAATCTATAACCTCTAATGAATGGCTTTAGGAGTTTTTCTCATTTTTAATATTCAAAAAGTTATATATTATATATTGATGTAAATTAATTTTACTACTTAATTTATTGTAACTCTTGAGCGAAGTCGGAGCCTATAAATGAAAATCATGTACTACACATTTGTGAGACGTATGTAAAAATAAATATTACTATTCATTTCTCTCCAATCCTCTCGTTCTGTTCATTTCTCTCATCTTACATTCCCCTTATATTTCATAACAAAAATGACACTTGCATCTATTAACTACTAATCTCACAGGAAATAATGCAAGAAATATAAATCGTAAACATTCCATCGCTTCTCACTTCTCAGAAGGCCTTTTATCAACAAAACCAACGCCAGATGGTTCTCTTGGAGAGCCCCTATGTCCATGCAATAGTTTTCGGCACCCCACAATCCTAGCGCGCCCCACCCACCACCCCCCCCCCTCCCAAAAAAAAAAAAAAAACCAGCTTGGGCAGATTTTATTCGAACACCCCCATACAATAATAGTTTTTTCTTGACGCCAAAAATATAAATAATAATAGTAGCTTTTTCTTCATTTTTAAATTTATTTTTCTCCAACCGCCAAGCTATCTCGCAAGTCCTACGCGTCTTGAACGACGTTTATAACTGGTTTCATGCTCTTCACATCAAACGAGGATTATGCACAATTTCATCAATAAGTGCTCGTAAATTGCCATAACCACGAGGCATATAACACATCCCTGTTTAAAAAGTTAAACATCGCATCTGTGGAGAAGAAAATTCAATTCCTGAATATGCCGATTCCCTTCAAGTCACTGCAACTATGCTCGGTAAATCTATCATACCAAATTTATAGGTAAACCAAGTCATCCAAAAAATAGAAATAGAAAAAGAAATGTGTGTAATTCTTTTATTAACATGTTATATCTCTTTCCCATTTAGCTTTATTTACCGATAGGTGTACTTGTCCCTATACTCGGTAACTTACCAACCACAACAAAATATTATAACCTCAGTTTTCTGCAAACAAGCTAAAATCAAATTCTATCATACGCTATTCCGGCACAATGCAACCCAAACGAAGAATGACGTACTGATTTGCTGCAGTAAATTGCAAAATATCTTCACAATCGAGCACAATCTTGAGTTGTTAGTTGTTACTCATAAGAATAACATCATAACCTGGTATAAACAACACATATCAGTAAGAATTAGAACATAGTAAAAAGCTAATACTTGTTCGGAAGTAGGGCTGACAATCCAGTCAAAAACATAGTTAAAAATAAGACCTGCAAGCTTTGAATCGTTTATGTAAACACACTGTCCTCAAGGCAAGATTTATCCCCCATGAAGATAACAGCGTATTAACAAAATTAAATCAGAAAGGAATCCACAACCATGAAACAATAGACTTGGCAACAACATTCCAGCTACCATGCTCCAAAAATAAATTTGATTTTACCCCTTGTTAATATTAGCGACGGACCGAGGTCTGGAGCACTCTTTCAGCAAAGCATACCAATCCCTCACAGACAGAGACCCTTCTATCAGGACGGAGGACTTGGAGTACATTTTTTATACTCATGTGGTACGATACAAATGGAACTGTCTTCAGTCTTCTTTTCTCTCAATTGTAATGAACTTTCGTATGTTTATAAGCGTGTGGTTGTTTGCCCATAGACATATATATACGACTACTCAGTGCGTAATCCAACATTTTTTCTACAAAGTAAAATCAGGGATACATGAATATCCCGGACCCGGATTACCTTTTGATAGCACACAATCAGTTTGTAACACAAAATCTTCACTTTTAAAAACCGATTCTTCCCCCGGTGGTAAAAATAAAGAGGAGAATGAAAAACATGAGCTTTCCATTCCGGATTATCCGCTCAGATTTAGCTGCAGGCTAATAGATGGCTGATCATCAAATGGAGAGAGACATAAAAGGAAAGTAATAGGAACAGCCAATATCAACTAATAATTAATACAAAGATCTAATGTCATACAGTTCGATTTAAGAATTTCTTCCATGACTCTCCTCAGTTCTTGATGATGAATTGGCAGCATCCTCGGGCTTCGGTGTATCTTCTTCCTCAACTATCTTCCCATCCATTGGAACTAAGCTAGGAATCCCGTTTTTTATCTAACAGACAAAATGGGATATAATCGATCACAACGAAAGTGGCTCGCCTATTTCTGGCTCTATTCTTGAATTTACAGAGATTATTGCATTTTTTTTTTTGGGCCATCAAGATAGTCACTTTTTGAGACCCAAAATTATGGGCAAACGGTAGTCGAAGTGCTTCCACGAAAGCTTGTATAGAATGAAATATCAGCCATCAAAGAAAGAACAAACAGATAAATAAACCTTAAACTTTCCACACTAAACCAGACGAAGCTCCTCGAAGTCCAAGCTCATTTGATATCTTCAATTTCAACTTTGGAAAAAATTCCCATTATAAAAACAAACTTGGAGTTCACACCTCTTCGAAGAATCTTTAAAATCTAGAGCATAATACGAAGCGCACAAAACAATAAATATAATAAGCGGACGCAAAACTCACAGGAAAGGAAACGCCGATGGCATCACTGATTAGGGAATTCGCGTGTTCACAGAACCTACCCAACAAGAGAATGAAATAAATGATAAACTTCCCAGTGATCAAAAAAATGAAATCATCGTAAATGAGAATCCATGAGTACCTCAACGGTTGCTTTGAGAGAGGACAAACCAGTATCTCCATTAGGGTCTTCGCCAGTGGCTCTGCTTTTTGCAGAAGCGCTTTGCTCGTCCTCACCATTTCATCTATAACTATCCTACTTCCCGAGTCGCCCCTTTCTGCAGCTACGCCTCACATATGAATAAGAGCCGAAATTTTGCTCACGGAGGACAAAAACCGACGGGTAACCCGGAAATGGATTGTAGACTTTCAGTAGAGAGAAGGCCCAATGTATTGGAGGATTAAAATTTATTCTTTCAGCCCATTGAAGGCAAATTAACAAAGTAAAATCAGCACTTTTATTTTATGGCTTAATACCAATGGCATGTTGCCGCAGCTGCACCTATATCCTAGGTTGCATAGATATGAATATGAGTATTCGATACGATATGATATGAAAATACAAAAAATTTTCAAAATTTTAGAATGCAGATACAGGGATATTTATAATATATATTTCAACATTTTATGATATAAGTATAAGTATTTTAATTTTTAAACAAAAATTTTTAAAGTAATATAAAGATATTTATAATAATTAATTAAAATATTATGTGTTTTTTTAAGTTTTTAAGTGATATGGTAAAAAATTATTGAAAAAAAATTATATCACAAATGGTAGAATATAGGATACGTATGCAAAAATATCCTATAAATATCATATCAGATACGTATCGGATACAGGTACATTTATTTTTTTAAAGTATCTGTGCTACATAGCCTATATCCCTCCCATGACATCGAAGACCATGGGTATGCCGTATGAACCTATGGGTGTGCATGTGTCGGTTCACTGGGATGTTTTGTTAGGTGCGTGTTTTTAATTATCCTTAATTGAAGAAACGGAGGTTTTAATACCAATTTATTTTATCATATTATAATTAGAGTGAATTCTCATATTTGCACATAAATCAAAATGGGTAGCTTTAATTAGTGTAATTTTTTTATCCCCACAGCACTTAACATAAACTTTGTTTTTTGGACCAGCGAACGTAAACTTTATTTAAGAGATGTTGGTCTCTTCCGTTTTACCAAACCACAATTAATACAATAAAATATTAAAAACTTGCTATATTATTTTTTTTAAAAAAGTTATATCTAAAGTTTCTCTGAAAATTATATTAAGATCTTTAAATATAAATCTACATATATCTCCACACAGGTTGGGGATTCTTACACCGTTCAGAAGGAATCCAGTGCTAAAGGATGTAATTTTGTCAACTTAACCACCATTGGATTTTAATAAACCAACAAAATTGTTTGAGGGGAAGTGAGAGACTCCACTTCAACTAGTAGCATAGCTCAAATGGAATTTACTTGGAAGATCAGCCCTCCCGCATAGTGAAAGCATATTCGGAAGCCTCACGAAGAGCTGTCTTCATTTATTTCTCGTGTTTAGGGTGAGAATAGGTTAAATTACTATAACCTAACCTACTTCAAATTTAACTTAATCTATCTATTAAATACATTCAGATCAAATTCAAACCCTTAATTAAGCCTATTTAACTAGATAAACTAAACCTATTTTTTTAAAGTTTAACCTACAGGCTCAATAATATACCACAAGCACATTAATTTCAACCGTTAATTTTTAATTAATTAATTTTTTTATTTCTTATTATATTTTCAATCATATTAAGCTTATATATTAATTTTAATGTTCTTCTTTTTCTGTTATATATTGTATTGTATTTGATAAATCTTTTCAATTATTATATATTATAATTGTTAAAATTAAACTATATATTATATACCATCATCATAATTTTAAAATACATTTGAGACATTTAAAATTAAAATACAAACCAATTTAAAATACAGATTTTTTAATAAGCTATTAAGTACTTTTTGATCAGGCCAAGCTTCATTTAAAATAGACTAAACTTAAATCATTAAAAAAACCTTATTCAACTTCAAACCAAGCTCAACACACAAATTTAGACCTACTTGACCAAACCCATTTCCAATCCCACTTATCCTGTCTGCCAATGGCGCAAAAGCGTCAGCCACTAAGCTACAGATAATGGCTACAGCTTCTACGTTACGACTTTATTAACTCAAGAACACCTAATCATTGCATTGGCACAAACTCGTTTGATTAACCCCCACGCAATGTCACCCGTTAACTAAAAGCATAACCGTTACTCTTAACACGCCTAAAAGGCAAGCACCTCCAGCACACAGCAGACAAGACTTACCCAAGCCAAGTTACGGATGAATGATGAACACGCACGGCGGAAGACCCCTTTTTTTCTCGCCAAAGAAACTTGGATCCAATAATTGCGAAGCACGGATTCAAGAACACAGGGAAGGACAGATTACCATGTGTTATACGATACTGAATATCACGAACCAAATCTTACGGGAATAAATGAACAGTTGGTTTCATGACAGAATCAAAACACTCGCCCCTCTCACCCCCATCTTCAGCTATTTACAATTCAAAATGCACATCAGTTCAAGAAGAAAGACATGTCTGAGACGAGATAATAGTCACCAGATACATAGATTCAGCAAAATATACCAAGTATATCACATAAACCGACATAGCAAGTTATTGAAACTTCAGAATGCTCAATACATGATATCTCATTCAAATGCCCATTGGTTTTCACGCCGAACTTCCTCCTCCTCCTCCGGAGTAAAGTCATTCTTAATATTAAAGGTCTTGCGAATTTCCTCAGGAGTCTTTCCCTTGATCATGTCCGCTACAGTCTGGCATGTAAGGTCCAGCAGGCTCTTGATGTTCAAGTAATTTGCAGCCTAGAAAAAAGAAAAATGTCATGAATACCATGCAACTAAAGCAGCCATTGCCTGAAAGTACTTGGACCAGGACTACGTTGAAAGAGTATTATAACAAAGCAAACAAGCAAACACAACCGCAGTCTTTTCAATTAACATTCTGTACACGGGCAAAAATTAGATGGACTTCCAAACTAAGGACTCCCATCATGCAATTTTATACGCATGGCATGTAAACTGAATAGACAACCGAAATCAATGCAATATTCCTGCAATACTTAGGCGGACAACATAGTGTTCGGGCACTTAAAAAAATAGTTTTGCCACTGGCTGTAAAAGAATAGCGCAGATGAACAGACAGAGGAAAGCGGCAAAAAGCGAAAACCAATATTCACAACCAATTGTTAGTGGCTGAACAATCAGAAAACCAAATAAGAGCTCAACCAATAAGACGACGTTGTAATCACAAAAGATTAGCTTGGAGCGCTGCATCAAACTAATCCGTCAATCAAGGGCAAACAAATGCGTTCCACAGCAGAAAAGGCTTAGTTACACTACCCCGCCCTCAGAGGGGAAGTAATACCAAAAGAATATCACCAATAATATCAATACCACAAAAACCCCCAATTCCAATATACTTTAACCCTAATGATTGTAAAATTATATCTCACAGGACCGGAACCGAAACGACAGCAAACAAAACTACCAAGCCTACAACACAACATTACAAAAGGGGAAATTAACTGACCAGGATGAGATCGAAGAGTGTGGCCTGGTCAACCCTGACGAAATCAGCATCCCAATCCCTAAGTTGCCCTTCAGTAATTTTCTCCTCAGAATTGGCAACATCGACGTGCTTCTTGCAGTATTCGATGACCTTAGCCAAGATCTTGCTGGTCACATTTGGAAGGGGGATTCCACTGTCAGCACAATCATCCTCGATCATGTGTTTGATGGTCTGAGACTCAAGCGCCACGGCCTCGTCAACTTCAAAAGGCTCGCCATCGGAGCTCTTCAAGGTGATCTTTTTCGACATGATCGACAGGTATGGAATGGGTCAGATTCTGCGGTCGTTACAGGGGGAGGGAGAACAAGCAAATCTCTAACCCTAATCCCGGGAAAAAGAAATTTTCTGATCGGGGGGAAGGGGTTCGAAGGCACGGGCTTGCATACTTATAGAGCTACTAGAAGCTTCAAGATTCTATCGACGGTGGATTTCGTGGCTCCTGTTTCATCCAAGGAAGACATCCAGCCTTACACGTGTTCATATTTGATTGATGAATCTTTTCTCTTTTTCGGCCGAAAACGTTTCATATCTCAGATTTGACAAAGGGCAATATCAATTGATGACCACCAGAGTTAAGATTCTGATTTTTCACTGCATCTCTTAATTCTTGATTTAAAAAATAAAGTTTCATAAAAAAATAATTTAATTATCTCTATTAATGAAAGAAAAACAATGATATGTAAATTGATCGCTAAGGCCTTAATATGTTACTGTCATTCATAAAATGGTTGATGTTAAAATATAAATTATTTATTATTTATATAAGGTGAATACTTATTCCATTAAGCCTGTATTGTCATTTTGTCAGTTTTATTAAAATTTAAATATGTTGTTATCAATCATAAATTAGTTATTGCTAAGGCCCAAATGATTTGTTATGTATGTAATATGAACGCTTATCCTATTAAACTTGAATTGTTATTTTTTCAATATTGATACATTTTTAATGTGTTGTTATTAATCATGCATTAATTATTATCAAAACTTAAATAGTCTGATGTTTACGCAAAATTAACATTTGTCCCATTAAATATGTGTAGTCAAATTTTTAATCTCATTAAACTTTAAATATATTATTATTAATCACAAATTAATTGTTATCAAAATTTAAATAGCTTGTTGTTTATGAAAAATGAACACATATTTCATTAAACTTGTAGTGTCAATTTTTCAATTTTATTAAATTTTAAATATATTATTATTAATTATGAATTGATTATTATCAAGATTTGATGTTATTTATAAGGGGTGAATACTTGTTATTTTAAATTTTAAAGATAGTTCAGTTATTTTTTATAAAAAATTATTTTCAGCTAAGGACTAAAGGGTAAAGTGAAAAATTAAAATTTTAATATCTTTTTTTGATATAAAATACATCCAGTAGTCCTTTGGTGATATTTTCACTTTGATAAAATCAGTTTTCCTATTTTTTTACTGAAGATAAATATTTTTTCATTTAATAGGTGGATTTCTACGTTCATATTATATAGAAATTAATTTAAGGGTTAAAGGATAAATTTATTTTAAAACTTTTTTTACGTGTTTTATATCTTAAATTTTACCGGGAATAATATTACTCCAAAACTTTCAAAATCAGTACAATATAAACTCACCGTTAAATATGTTGAGCAAGTGAATCACATGCGGCAGACTTACGTGGGGGGAAAAAAAGAAAGAACTCATCTGACTCCCAAATCTAACCTCAATCGATCTCCTTCGGCAGCTTCAGCGTGCATCTTTATCTCCCCACCTCACAATGACCTGTCCAATCCGACGTCCTCAACTCCTTCAACCTTCTAGACTTCAGTTGATCTCCTCCGACGGCCATCGCACCGTCCTTCTAAAGAAGCTCGATCCAAGACCCACAAAAGGGGCTGGTTCCAAAAGCCCGAAGAAAAGCTTTAATTCATCTTAGATTGGTTCTGTAAAAGAATAGGTTCTCCAATTATCTCAAAGTTAGAGGTCACAGAAATTACTTCAAAAGGCCAATCTCGATTTTGAGCACAAAGAAGAATATATGATTTGTCGCTTAAAAATTAAAAAAAGATTAAAGAGAAAGAAAGAGGGAGAGCATTATGCACTGATGTTTTCAATGATATGCAAATTTGATTAAAGTGACAGCGATTGAACTGAATAAATGTTTATAATCAGGAAAAAAGACAAATAAAGTAGAGTCTGATTCCAAAACATATACAAGGAAAACGTCAACATACAAGGAGGAAAAGGAAAATGGCATACTCATAGATCTCGAAGAAGCAAGCTTAACGAAGAAAAAAAAATCCCAATAACCGACTTCAGCGAACAATCAAGTTCTCTAAACTTGAGGAGAAAGTCTCCACGAGAATAATTAATGAAACCAACCCATTTGCTAGAAGGTTCAATCATGGTACATACGAAACTTGGAACTCTCAGATTGACCCCCGAGAAAGCAGAGTTTAAAAGCATACTCGGCCACAGGTGAAAGTCGACACGCCTCCTTTGCTGATGCAACGACGAGCGAATCAACGCCAACAAGGCTCTCTTCACTGTATCTCCCTCGATGCCGCTCAGTTCGTCATTGCTAATCCACGCGTGTTGAGCTGCGCGGGCACGGACGATGAGTGGCCGGAGACGATGAGAGTCCAACTCAGCATCTTGGCGTCCATTGGTCAAAGAAATCAATTTAACGATAAACCTTGGTGGGAGTTAATGATGATGGGTCGCATTCCACTGTTTTTTAAAGTTTCAGGACAATTTTGTTTCAAATAAAAACTTTAAAATATTTGGTGCATCTTAAAAAAAAAAAAAGTTCTATAATAAATTTGCCTTTTAAGTTCAATTCAGTTTTGGAAACTTCCCTTTAAATTTGTTTTAATTTGTTTGTCACAAGTTTATAATTTGCTTTGTACTAAATTTGACTTTGATCAAATTTGAGCATTCATTATGAATCTATTTGTAGATAAAAATATTTTGTCTTCTAAAAATTTAGTCTGTTAAATCAATCAAGTGAATGTGTATATACACGCACGCACGCACGCACGTGCATGTGTATAATAAAAAATTATCTTAAAAAAAATATTGTCAAACTTTGCTATCTTACCAAACTTGTTTTTGGATTAAAACAAGTTTTTTTTTTTTTTTTTTTTGCCAACGTATGAAAACAGGATAAGCTAACACCCTTAAATATATTATCAAATATGATTTAAGATAATTTTTTAAATGTGATTTTTTTGAAGAAATTACATATAAGTCCCATAAAGTAAATTTATTTATAAATAAGTTTTGTGAAGTTCAAAAACTATAATTAAGTCTCTTGAAACTTGAATGTAGTTTGAAATTAGAGTAAAATGACAATGATACTTTTATTAAATATATATATATATTATATAATTTAAATAATTTACAATTATTTTATCTATAATTTATAATTATAACTTTAATTTTTTATAGTTGTAACTTCACATGTGTAATGGTTAAACTGATATAAAAAATTTAACTATTAAATTTGTGAAACTACAGTTATAAAAAATTAAAATTATAGTTATAAATTATTAATAAATTAATTGTAAACAATTAAAATTAATGTTAAACTTTGTTATTAATGCATAATTATTTAACTATTGAATATTTAAAATTATTATTAGAAAAAGTTAAAATTATAATTGAAAATTGTTGACGAAATAGTTGTAAATTAATTGTTTAATTGATACTCCTTCCGTCTCAAATTATAAGACACTTTTAGACAAAATTTTACATACCAATAAAGTTCATTAAATACACTTTATAACCTTACTTTTTCAAGACAAAAATATAAACGTTAAAAAATACCCTCTATTTAATATTTCATTAATAAAAGAATATTAAAAAAATAAAATATATGAAAAATATAATATTGAGAAAATATCATTCATGAAACTTTATTTTTATTAAAGTATCTTATATTTTGAGACGCTGAATCTTCTCTAAAAATATCTGATAATTTGAGACAGGGGGAATATAATATGTTTAATGAGAGTATTATTGTCTTTGCAATCTAAATTTATATTATACACAAGTCTCCAGAGATTTGATTATAACTTTTAAATTTTATAAAATTTAATTTGTAAATAAATTTACCCTATAGAATCTATACGTAATTTTATTTTATTTTTGCATTCACAAATTTAGACCCTCAACTTCAATTTTCTAGAAAAAGAATCAAATTTCTTCCACTCAACCAAGCCATTATTAACAAAATTTAAATACTTTCATATTATTTTTATAAAAAGAAAATTTGTATGTAGAATCCTCAGCATGGGTTCAGGTCGAAAAAGTAGAGAAAAACAAGTGAAGATAAACGAAAGCAGCTCGGAAAAGAGAATAGAACCATTTCAGAAATCGGAACGTTGGGGAAGTCGCCGGGGCAAAGTCAGCGCAGCACAAGAAATATAAAATTAACAGAAAAAAGAGCAAGCTTTCTGCTTTCGACCACAAGTAGCTGAGATAAGTGAAGCAAGGGATTAATCGTGACCGAACCTCATATCTGCATGATATAACGAAAAAAGAACAAGTCATCAAATTTCAACAAGAAAGTGTTTTCTTGCCAAACGAAGGCGTTGTCCAACCATATAATACGATAATTGTAATTTTATGGTAGATACTATTTACAAGAGTTCTGTACAAGAAACATCTGCCATTCTAAGATCAGGGCCGAGTTGGGTCAGTCAAATTGTCAACGGAGTTACACAAAAGCGATGCGCCCAAATCCCACTAAACAACAAATGATATGTAGATCAAGATTCCATATGCTGTGGGGGTGGAGGGCTTGTACTTGTCTTGTCAGATCCTGCGATGCGATTTACACCAAGGTATACGTTTGGAGTGCTGAATGGAAACTTAAAGGAACTCGTGCTAAGGAAAATCAACAATAAATTTCGCAGTGAAACAGGGAGAAAACTTAATAAAGCCAAGGGAGGACCATTCACCAGGTTTGGCTCAGAAAAAGAAAGGCGAGGGACCAAGGCACATGCAAGGTAGGCATCCTTAAAAGTACGAATTAACAGAATTCACAGCAATTCTAGTGGTGACATTGCCCACAATGATATAGCAAGCTGAAGGGCGAGAAGGACATACCACAAACCCCACGGATCTCCACTTCCCTCCATTCTTGGACAAGGGCGCAGCAGCAGCACATTAAATGGGATAGAAAATCATCAACGTAGCCACCCTGCACAGGCATGTTGGTAAGCAGCATAATATTTGGAAAGACCAGAGAATGCCAGAGCCAAGTAAGTAGTAATAGTAATTAATTTCGATGCTTATTTAAGCCTCAAAAATACATTATCTATATCCTTTAAATCAGCTTCTTCATTGGATGATCAGGATCCGAACAAAAATAGAGTTGGTAGAAATCACAAAAGAAAAGGCACTGTGTTGGTGATATGATTTCAGCAGCCGGCCAACCGATATTAGGATACTCCCCGTGATAACATGATCACATTGTCCATCGTAAGAAAATCAGTGTTTCAGAGACTTCACTTTTAGAATTAAAAAACATGACCACACACGTCTTAAAAGAAGCTAAACACATGGGTTTTGAGCAGATGGGTTCATTCCTCAAATGGTGTGCTTGTGAGAGACGATCATATTCATGCACAAGGAAATCAGTCTTACTGTGATGTTCAACATTTTCCGAAGCTTCCTCCTGATACAGCAAGTATAGCAACAGCATGACAAAACTAATGAATATGCCATCAACTCATTACATGCTTCTGCAGAAGCTGAAAAACAGAAAACTGAGATTATAGCAGCATAGCCACAAATAAAGATGCAATTGTAAAAAAATGAACCAGAAAGAAAGGAGAATAGCATCAAATTCGAATACATGTGCAAAATTTATAAGTCTTAGCGTAATCCTGAAAGTTAAAGCAAAGGTCTCAATTTTTAGTCTATTCTCCATAACCCAACAAAGCCTCTAATTTTATTTCTATGGCATAGAAGTATAAAACAATATGACAAAGTCAAGTTATCCCTTCATTGTTGATATTATGCTACCCACAAAGTAAGATGTGATGATTTCACCATTGGTCATAATGGTAAATGGCATGTGGCGCAGCACCTGAGTGTTCAACCATGCAATACTTGTGATGCATGCAAAATGTGCAAATTTACGTGATGATTTGTATGCACCATATGAGAAACAGAGAGAGAGGGAGAAATAGAAAGCATGGTTTCAGGCCAGCATCAGCACCTTCTTCAAGAGAGGAGAACACGAAAAATCAGATTATGGTTTTTGTAGTTCGGTCAGCTGTTTTCTCTTTTCTTCCTTCCTATCTCACTTCAAGCTTCTTTCTAATCCTGCTCCAATTCAAAGACCACGTGGCTTCTTTTTGTATGAAACTGCCAATTTGTTTTGATTTTTTTCTGGGAATTCCATAGTTATGGTCGCTTCCATTTTGCAAATTAGCAGTTAAGGTCCAATTCCCTTTCTGTTTTTAAATCCCAAAAATTAGCCTTGCTATGTTACAAGCAGCGTGAGGTTGTCTTCTGATGTATCATCTTCACAATTGCTTTTTCATTAGACAAAAATGTTAGCCGAATTTTCTGTTAACTAGAGCAATAATATATACTTGTTTTTTAGTATCTGAAAAGAAAGACTTATTAGAACATTATTCACATAATAATATTGTTTGGAATTAAATATCTCTCTCACTATTAAAATGTACTCATTTTTATTTAAAAAAAATTCATTTTTGCTGCCATTAGGCAAGGTGCATCAGCGTAGCTTGTTTGTAAATTTTTGCCTTCTGATTATGAATTTTATAACAGCCATTAAGGAGAGGTATTTGGCTCGTCCATTCTCTTCACCATCATGAAGTAGAGTAGAAATGTGATAATTTTTTTATGTTTACTCCATCACGACTTTGTGATATCAGCTCATATAGAAACTGTGAAAGTAGCAGTGGAATTAAACCCTGTTCTAAGCTGAGTCGAACCCAAATGACATCAACGTCCCACAGGATTGATTTGATCTAACTGAATTCTATAGCCTTGTCTGTAAGCTTAGCAAAAGCAAGAAATACATGCGAACAAAACAGATCTCAGATTTATATCCATCACTCAAAAGCTGAAAGACATTATATTAATGTTTAGCTTACTTACATATGTGCCTGTTTGTTGCAACAGTAGCAATCTTTGAAAATGTCCCGCAAGGATAGAAGAAAGTTTTTATACCTGCAAAAAAGAAAGCTCTTGCTATTTGAAGCAGCGTGCAACTTGGATGAAACATCACAAACTATTGGACTGTTGACCCCTATCCATTTCACATGGATGACATTCTACTACCCTTGAGTTTGGTTTCCTCTACTTCTTAAAGACACAATTCCTCCACAATAGTAATTCAGTCTTTAACATGCAAAGGAAAAGAAAAGAGAATCCCTGCTCCCACAATGACCACTGTAAACTTCTGTTCTCATTCAAATCTTGCGGAAAAACAGTTCTAAACACAGGTATCTCATGCACAACACAGATGCTCTACTTCCGGAATTCTAATTGTTGCTTCTATTTTCCAAATAGCACAGCCGCGTGTTTCATCCAGTTAGGTGTCAAACAGCCTCTCATCCAAACCCCACACAAAAGTATAACTTGCAGGCATTAAAATAGAAGATACCAATGATGTTAACTGACAGAATCATGCTACCCATTAATGATAAGCAGATAATATACCCAGAAAAGGGGAGTGTTAAGAAATCTTCACAGTACTAAAACTGAACCCTTTTAATATTTACACTTAGGGTCTTCTTAAATCTTGAAAAACGGTCAAAATAATTAGAAATTAGATGTTATGTGGAAGTGTACCTCTGACTGAAAGTATATTCCGAAGGTAAAGCATGCAACTCTTAAAGATGCATGAATTACAAGAATACACAAACAGTTTACAACAAAATGCATACAGTAAATTAATAACCATCAATATCCATTCAATATAAAACAAAATTATTGAGAGCTGCATTGTACACAAGATGTGAACAGTGCAGTCCATCTTAAGATTCATGCGAATGCAGAGGCCTATCTAGTTGGTATTGTTGAATAGCACGCTTCCTTCGTAAATGACCGTGCCCAATGAAACTAGAATTAACAGCAGATGAGTGCATACATAGAGAGGGTTCAGAACAACAAGAAAGTAAATCAGTGTGCCATTCTCCCAGCTGATATGAACCTTCAGTGGGCAGCAGATCCTTTCCTGAAACTAAAGATCTGCTTGTGCCAGATACAAAAGCATCAGTCTGAGAATCAAATTAAGTTTGCAACAGAAGACATTAATAAAATAATGTGCCAGAAAAAGAAGAGATTAGAGAAGCCCAAAACTTAAGGTGGTTTAAGCTGCTCTAAGTTAAAATTACAAGTCCAATTTTGAGCCTGCCTGGCTGTCAGCAGTGACTGGCTTAAAACTAATATTTCTCTAATCCCTATTTATAAATCACTTCCAACATATTTTAACAAAACAAAGGAAATCTGTAAAACTCACTAACTCTGTCCAACAATTTGATAAATTCTTAACTTTCCCTATTTATAAATCACTTCCAACATATTTTAACAAAACAAAGGAAATCTGTAAAACTCACTAACTCTGTCCAACAATTTGATAAATTCTTAACTTTACTTCTATTAAATATGCATACTTTAATAACGTATTTTCTCTCAATAACATTTAATGGAAGGTAAAAGGAGAAATTTATAATAAAAATTTAATGATGTGACTTATAGTAAAAAAATAATCTGATCTCCGCACCTTATAAGTAGGGCTGGAGGGAATTAATACTTATTTTCAGTCATGATCAGTGGCATGAGTGCACATATAGTTGGGACTTGATCATTACCTTAACGCTGAAGATGTGTCACGTTCTGTGTGATATTTATCATCAGATGCTTGGCCTTTCTCATTATTGTCATATGTTTTCTTATGACTCTTTTCAGGGGAACACTTCTCGGGAAGAGAGTAAGCTGCAGCTTCCGTCACGTCCAATAAACGTTGAATGACTTCACACTGATTCATATCCAAATTTGCCTGCGACCGTTGTAGCTCTAATTTAAGCTTTTCATTTTCTTTTTTAAGTGCTTCATTGAAAGGCAAGTTGGGGTAAGAAAAGGAAAGAGATTTCTTGAGCACCACAGCATCATCTTTGTCAGGTTCAGGTTTTAATATCACAGTCTGCACCTTTTGTTCCTCATCATCCAATGTGTATTCATGCTGATCCTTCTCAATAGCTTCAAGTCTCTCCTGGATATTTCAGAGGAGAAGATTGTCAACGTCATTCAGAGAGAATTTGCAACCAAAATGGACCAAACAAAGATGCTGCAATAGAGTTGAAAAGTTGAACACATCACACTTCTCAAAGATATAGAGAAAAGACCAAGTTCTGATTAATTTGGATTCCATAAAATTGGATTTATGTATAAGGAACATGTATAACAAACTTTTAAGAGGAACCACAAACTTTTTCCTCTTTTTTTCTGGTAAAAGGAACATGCATGACAAGTGATAGCTGATGATCGAACACAATTAAATAGAGCATATACCCTGACACGAGTATTGTCCACCAGAGTGATGAGAGGAACAAGACGTAGGTAACTGTCAATTTCATTCTGAGCCTTTCTGAATTGATAAACAATGTTCCAGCCCATGGCCAGCAAATATAGATAGCTCCGGTCCTGACAACTGTTGACCAAAACGTAAGACCTTCTTAGAGCATCTTCAAGCTGCTCCAGAGGCTCCCGAGTTTCTGGATATTTTTTCAGCTCTGAGATCTTGAGCTGCTCCAGCAAATTCCCAATCAACTTCAGATGCTGTGCAAACTGCCTGCAGTTCTTCTTGTGCATCCGTGCCGTACTTGCAGCTTTTACAATCATTCCAATCAACCGCACAGCATCCAAGCCCGTCAGCTGGACTACATTTGCAATTTCCCCAAGATGGTCCCATGAAGATGCCATGCTATCTGAACATAAATAAGAAAACCACATAATATAGCCCACAACATCAAATTACAAAAATGGTGATTCATTTCCCATAACTTCCATCATAAGAAGGGAAAGGAGATTAGATAAAAAGGAATTCAGACAGAAACTTGCCGACCAAAATCTATGCCTAATAATAACTCAGGATACAAAGTAAAGTCTGAAAACGTTGTAGAATTCAGATATATGGATTCATTTAACTTCTACTTAGCGAATAAAATTGCTATTACTGGGTATAATACTTGCAATGTGTTGCTCTACCTACGCTGCCAAAGACTAGCAAATTTTACGCCGCTAAATAGTCAGAGATTTTAAGCCGGATGAAGCCTCCCCTCTAAAAGAAGAGTTCAGAAATGGCATCTCCTTCCAAGATCTCGGATATTTAGAGACAGAGGCACTGCAAAACGTAGCAAATGCAATTAAAGCAGTGAAGAAGAGAAAGGGGAAATACTAAATCAACAAATCACGGGGATATCAGTGACGCTTCTTGACTCGCTTTTCTACTGAGGAGATAAAGTTAAAAAGAGGAACTTGGGCCCTAAATCAACAAACGTAGACTAAGAAATTCAATTGTTTCATTTTCTAAATCTTGTTATTTTTTGTCAATGAAGAAATCTAAAAATCGCAACCACTCAGTTTAAGTTCTATAACTGAACCACTTGACCAAGCCAGGATCAGAAATCACTATCCAACTGTTCCTATATTTCATTATTCGAAGGGAGGGAAGATGAAAGCAAAAAACAAAAAAAGTGACTGAACCAGAAACATGTAAGAATGGTCAAAGCTTCAATTCAGAATGCAGATTAGTTAGACAAACTACGCCCAAAAGACTCAAAGACACTTCTAGCCTGCTCCCGATAATGCATCACCAGATGTAATATTTGTGGTTCTGAGTTCCTGAGAATGATGAAAGAAGAGACGTAAAGATGGGAGAGAAAAAAATAAAATTCTGGCAATGACAGACATTGCTTTGCGCAAATGAGTTTCCACTCGTTCTCCTGTGCGGAACTCTGGAGGATTTGGGCAGAGAAATGCAGAAAGCTACTCAGAGTGCCTTTCTCTCCCTTCCCCTTCTCGCTCACAGGCCACAGCTACGATATTGTTTGTCTCTCTCTACTCTAGTGCGGCGCAGAGTTTGGCCTCAAGTGCTTCCCACGCAGTCGCATCTCCACGAGACACGAGCAAGGGTCTTGCGGTTGCCAGCTCCGAGGTCATCAGTGCCATTATGTCGCTCTTCTAATTACGAGAGTGCCACTCATACTCGTGCCGTGTCCATCTCCGTGGTTCGTGACGGCGTCGCCGGTACGAGGCTACGAGACAGTAATAGTGGTGTGGAAGCGATGTGCAATGCATGAACAGCGTCTTTCTTGGGGGATGACCAGTTGACCACGAGTGCTTTCACACCTGCCGGTTTGCATTTTTGTTCATCTTCTTATTATATGAGTGCGGAGTTCCGCACTGTAACAAAAAGTTGAGTTTATCATCTTGAAGGAAAAAACATTGCATTTTTGTGAATAAAAGCTTGGCTGATTTAACGGACTGTCTTGTATGTAAAATATGCGGGGTGGGAACAACTTGGACGTAATTGATAGATCTGGGACTGCAGTCGTCATTATCGGTTTTTGGTTGGGCTTAGGAAGAATGATAAGTAAAATTTAACAACCTTGTAAGAATATTAATATTAAATTAAAATTTTTTAATATCAATATTTTCAAATTCAATACTCATTTTTTTTTATGTTTTGATAGTAGAATTCTTAATTTGACACCAATTTTTTTTACAAAGCCTTCATTTGTCATTTTTTCTTGGTCTTAACCAGTCAAAATGATTAGTCCACCAAGAATGACTTGTGAGTTTAAATTGTAAAAAAATTAATTGTTTTTATAATTTTGACTTAGGTATAACTCAATTTTTGAACTATGATTCATTATAACTCAATCCTTATAATTTTAACTCTATCATAACTCAATTTTAAATTTTACCTCTTACAATTCAATCCCTGTAGTTTTAACAATTTAAAAGTCTATTTGAATTTCAGTTGAGTATAATTAATTATAAAAATAATTTATTAATATGATTAATTTTTATTATAATTGATTATGTTATAACGTAAATTATTTGGATATTGTATTTTTAGAATTAATTTTAATAGAATTGAATATGTTTAGATGATTTAGTACGAATCAAATTTAGCAACACAAATTACCATAAAAAGACATTGCTTGTCAAAGTTAAATTATTGATAAAATTGAATATATTATTATTAAATTTGTTAAAATTTATTTAAGAAGTAAAATATATTATTTAACATATATATCTGACTAATTATAGAAATTTTAATTATATTAATATTAACATTTTACCTATACAATCAATTATTTTGTTCAAAGAAGCTCTGTGGGATAGCCTATTGCAAAACGTTATCCTACCTATACCTGATTAATTATAGAAATTTTAAATTTTATTATATTATAATATTAAATTTAATTTAATGTTGTTATTATTTACTGCTAGTTGTCACGGATGATATCTCCGTGATCGTGTAAAGACCAATGTAATAAACGATCCGCTGGTTAGCCTCGCACAATATAGGTAAAGGGGGAGACATTAACATTGGGGGTGTTCTGCCTCAGTTTTCGGACTGAGTGCACAACTGGTCGGGGGCTGGTGCCGCCTCCCCGATGAGCCCATGGCAGGGCGAAATCAGTGTGATCCGTATGTGGTAAGGCTTGTCCTGAGGATTATGGGGTCCTCCAGGACGCCGCACGGGCGCCGTGTGTTGCGCCAGACTCTCAGCCCGTGACAAAGTGGTATCAGAGCAGGACGTACTTTACTGTCGTGTGCCTGTGGGGTCCCATGTTGGGACTGGTCGACCTCGGCACTGCTCCAGAAAGGCCTCCGAAAAGGTGGGTCCAAAAGTGGGGACTCGGGCGGGAAGGTTGGCCGTTGTCGACTCCACTCCTGTTGGCTCGCAGGTGCAAGTGGGTCCGAAGAGTGCAGGACTCGGGTGGCCACTCAACAGTAAGCTGATGTGTTTGTGGCAGTACTGTACGTACGATCCTTGAGCGGAGTCTTTCTCCCCTAGCACGAGGGTGTGCTAGATTGGGTATGGGAGAATGTCACGGGTGATATCTCCGTGACCGTGTAAAGACCAAGATAATGAACGATCTGCTGGTTAGCCTCGCACAATATGGATAAAGGGGGCGACATTGGCATTGGGAGTGTTCTGCCTCAGTCTTCGGACTGTGTGCACAACTGGTCGGGGGCTGGTGCCGCCTCCCTGATGAGCCCATGGCAGAGCGAAACCAGTGCGATCCGTATGTGGTAAGGCTTGTCCTGAGGATTATGGGGTCCTCTAGGACGCCGCACGGGCGTCGTATGCTGCGCCAGACTCTCAGTCCGTGACATGGTGCTTGCCTTCAGACTTTTTGCAAAAAATGAGCACGTTAACTCAACTACGTTGGCATAGAGATGTGATGAAAGATAAAAGGAGAACAATTGATTGCATATTCAAACGCAGGAGGTGGATAGATATCAAAAAATACGATTGAAGGGTACATATGGCACATGAAATTTTTGACAAATAGTGAGCACATTTGATGATATAATTGAAACCCAGAAGCCACTTTTCTCATCTTAATCAAAAACGTGATTTTGATTTAAATAATTAATCATGAGAAAATTGTGATTTTTGGATAACTTTAATTCAAAAATCAATTTTGACCCAAAAAATAAGTTTTTCATCATATCCAAACAAACAGTAAATATTGGTCTCTATATTCTAAAAATAAAATTATAAAGATTAAAAATATTTTAAACCTTTACTCTTTTTATTTAAAAATATAAGACATTTTTAAGAAATTAAATGTTAAAAAATATAAAACATTTGAAGTCTTTTGAGGTATAATTATTATTTTATTTTAAAAGTACCCATATTGATAATGACTTTATATTTATTGTGGGGTGTTTGATAGGAGTAAATATAAAAAGATACAGTTAGTTTGAAAGTAGGTAACTATTTTATTATGGGGTAAAATTAGGTTAAAAATGATTTACATTTTTAGACGAAGGGAGTAATATCTATAATATTTAAAGATTAAAAAATTAAAATTATAATATTTTAAACTTTTAACATTTATAATATTACTAATAAAATTATAAAAATTAAAAATATGTTAAAATTTATTACTAATATTTTAAATTATTAAATTCATTTAATCTTTATAAATATTAAAAGTTTAAAATATTTTTAATATTTATCATTTTATTTTTTAAAAAATATAGAGAATAATATTTAAAAGTATATTTTACTATTTATATTTTAAATAATTTTTAGCTAACTGAACTAAATTTTTAAAAAATATATTCAAATATAAATATTATTATAACAATTGATTTTTATTAAATTAAGTTTCACTAAATGAATTTTTAATAAATTAAAAATCAAACGCACAAGAAATTTGTGTCACAGAGAAAAACGTGTAGAAAGATTAGATAGATTGATACAGTACATTGTATGATTCTGCGTCATAGCACCAAAGACATGTTCATCCGGCATTGAACAACAAAGCGCGTAGAGTTTCGCGAAAGGGGACGCAAGATTAATAAGATTACATTGATAACTAACAAATGAGTAATAATACGGGAGACGTGAAACATGGCAAGGGCGCGATTTAAACGAAGAAAGAGGGGTAATATTGTGAATTCAGTTCACGGGATGCGGGTTGGCAACTGCGTGGGGCCTACCACAATGCGATGGCAATGGAGGCTAGAGAGCAATGTTTTTAAAGTCAAATTGTACTGACTCGACCGTCGATCGGTTTAATTTTGAATTTAATTTTTATAAAAAAATTATTTTAAAAATTGAGTTGGATTGAGTCATTTTAAACCAAGCCAAAAATCAAATTCGATTTCCAAAAATTTAACTGTTCAAAAAAACTTTTTTTTATCAAATTCTTTTAAAAAGTGACTATTTTTTTAATCATTTTATATTATGTTATATTATATGACTTGTTAAATCATGATAAATTTAAAATATTTAATTTTGTAAGTTAAATAATAATTTTATATGTATTTTTTATATTTAAATTATTATATAAATATATAATTTTATAATTTAACTATTACATCATCAGTTTGATCATTGATCCAATCCGATTAAATCATTCAAATCATGAATTTTTGACTTTTTTAATTCAATATTCAGGTCGATTTTAAAAGTATTGCTAGAGAGTGCACGAGGCAATGGAGGCTTTCATTTTCCGTTGTTGATTGCAGGATGGCACCATTCTCATCGGATTGTGGGCTCGCTGTCTCATGCAACTCCCGAACCAGTTATCCTCCGTTCATTAGTCAGATTGGATTGGACACTTTTCAGTTGAGAGGTAACTTGAAGGAGTCGGGTCACTCGTAAATATGCCTCTCTCTTAATTTAATTATCTCCTTTATTTATTTATTTAGGTAACATAATTATCTCCTCTATTTATTGCCTCAAATCTTTTCCTGACGAATATTAGTAATAAGCCAAGTAGTATCCTTTTATTGGCAAATATAGTTACCGATCCTGGAGTCAACGATTTTTTTTTTTTTTTCACGCGATATTGCACTTGAAGATTTGTATAATTCACCTGCTTTATTTGGAACCAGAATGATTCAGCTGATTTAAAAACAATGCCTGGATTATCATGCCATGCATTTTTTCGTACTTAACTCATTAAAAGCAAAAAAACGATCAACTGTCTTCATATTGAATACTGAGTGCAACTCAGTAAATAAAACTATATTGAGCCACAAGCAGAGCGTGACTTGAAAGCAATAAGTGTTTTAACGAGAAGAGAAAACAGAGAGGAGGTGAATAGATTGATCTGTAGAAGGCAGTTCGTGGCAGTTGATACAACGAAGAAGGTAGTTAGGCCCGACACAGAGCACAACACTGTCCCCGGCTCTTCGGGGGGAAAACAAGCATAGATGTGCCGAAGGCAAGTTATTATGGAACATTTTTTTCCATAAATTTACAACTATAGTTGTAACAGTTTGATATATGTGTGTGTGTAATGTTTCTGCACAGTTTTGTTCAGAAGTATTGCTAGCTTAATAGTTACAACTAGAATTAATCTCCGTGCATCGTTTTCAAGATGGTATGTTTATGACAATCAATTATATGAATTATACCGTGCATTGATCGCCAATGAAGTTAGGTATATTATTACTGGCACGTAAATGCCATACGCAATATTTCTAGAGAAGATGTTAATAAACCTTTGGTGGTTTCAATGTTGTAATGCATGATAATGTTTATTTGTTCTTGTAACTTTTAAACTGTGAGGGTTATGGTGTTGACAATAAAACGAATTATAACATGTGCTATTTGCACCTAATTAAGGTCCTAATTGTGTGAAAATCAAGGAGAATTACGTTGATATCTTTACAATACAATTAAATGCTACAAGGTTTATCGAGAATTTAATTTAATAGATCCCAATTAAATCTCATTTGTGTTATATTTTAATAATTTTTTTATTTTTAAAAATTAGACCTTTGGGAATGCTTACAAATAAAATATGGGTGCCTAAATACTATATGAATTGAACAGCGTCAATGTCAATAATAAGATATATCAATTTGTTACACATAGAACAACGTTTCTTATTTTTGTCAAGGTTCCTTTAAATTTGTTTTCCCGGTAATTTAAAGATTTTTTACTTTAAAGAATTAGATAATCAATTCCAAATTTATTGCGCACAAAACTAAGCTTATTTGATACTTTTTGTTTGGCCAAAACAAGCTTATTTGATACTGATATGTAGAAACTCAAAGGAAAAAAAAAAAAAGGATTCCACCATTATTGTTTAAAGAATCGTAGATCTACAGTTTACCAAGATTATACTTTGCAATATTATTTGATAAATTACACTAGATTTTGCTTGCAGGTACGAGGTTACAACTTGAAGTCTGACATGGCAGAAGGTAGTAAGTTGTCAACGTTCTTTTAAACAATAGCTCTTTAAAAATGTACTTTAATTTTTAATTTCACTAAAGTCTCTCATAATTTTAAATGACATTTATCTATCTCTCAGGATTGAACTCACGTTAATCCAATTCTAGGGAACTTAAGTGATATTATCTGGAATTTCTTAAGTCATTTCCTCCCTCTTTTTAAGCTCTGACTTTTGGATGCTGAATTTGGATTGGATGGTTATTTTTAATACAAGTACTAAGTATTTGTAAATTATTAAAATTTAAATTAATAATTTTAAATTCACACTTTATCCAAAACTAATGAATGAATAAATTTATCTAAAATATTAATATATATTTTAATAATTCGAATGATATAATTATTCAGTATTTATAATTACTAAATTCAAATCAGTGCATTATTTTTTGTTTTTGTTTTTGCATGTAATTGTTCCGTCAGGGTCCCTGCAGTGGATGTGGTCAAGAGCGGTAACTCACGGGGGAAAGCTGATGCCATAAAGTCTCAATTCCTACAGCTGCGCATTCATTGACTCACGCGCTTGCCCCTTCCTCACTTGGCTCTCTACCAAATCCATTCCACGCTTCCCATTCCTCCTACCTCTCATTTTCGTTATGTCACGCTTGTTTCACAAATTTATTAATTTCTCCCATTTTAATTACAGGACACAGTTGACTAATTTCATGATTTTTGAAGAGTTACAATCCATATCTTAAACTTGTAAAAAATATGATTTTTTTTATTTTCGTCTTCTACTAAAAATAATGATGATACAAAGTATGGCATAGAAATTAAAATATGAAACAATTTATTACAATTAACCAGGGTTATGATTAAAAAAAATTAACTATTATATTTTTGCTTTCTATTTAAAATCAGGCTGGATTTTAAAATTTTGTCAATATTGGAGAAAATATATTTTGATTTAACTTCAATTAATTAAGAAATTGATACTGGATATCATTTTGCTTTGTATTTCTCCGCTTAGATCACCGACTTTCAATTTCCCTCTTATTTGTTCGTACCCTAGTTTTGAAAATCAATTTAACTGAAAAAAAAAAGTCACAATTAATGCATTAGTTGTGTATCCGATCCAATTCATCGAAATTCCCGCGGTCGGCAAAAATCAGGAATCCAATGAAATTTGTTTTCAAGAGAAACAGGCCATGGAAAAATTGGCGGGCACTCGAAGCAAATTCAAAAAAAGGTGCAAAGCAAACCCTACCTTCCCAATTGCTTTCCTCCTTCCCCCTCTCCAGCCCCCTCCCCGACCCTCATATTTGCTGTGTCACTGTCAACCTCAAATTCATATTTTCTCTCTCTAGAATTTCTGCTATCAACTCTCTGAGGTACGTCCCTGATTGCTTTTTCTGTGCCTGATTGATTTCGTGTTTCAATATTTAAATTAAACACTCTCCATGAAGTTCTCTGATCTGGTTTCAATCTGTCTGTTATTTAGTCTTTATTGGGATTCTTCGTGGTTTCTACTTGCCGCCTTCTTTCGCGTTTTATTGATAGGTTCGTCGAAGTCTGTAATATCTATTCACGTAAATCTCGTCTACTCTTTTTGGTATTTGAGCTCTACCTTCTGGGTTTACTGAAATAGCGATGATTTGGCAAGCTACTTCGAATTTCTTTTGGGGTTTACCGAGTTTGTTTCTTTGACATCGTTGAGGCAATTTCTTGTAGCTGTGTTTCAGGATAGGTTGATGATAATTTAAGAGGAGTAAGGTCTTATAGTTAGGGCAACATCAATCCAAGGCGTACAAAGTAAAAAGCATGGGGAAAGCGTCTCCGCAAGAGAAGGATGGGAAGAGAAGTAAACAAACCAGACCATTTCCCAACTCAAACAAGTATCTGAAACCAGGTGCTCTCGCTCAGCTTCGATCCGACAAGTCGTCCACTGTCAAGTCTTATAGGAATTTTAGAAAGAAAAGAGTGGCGATCTTGCATTCAAGGAAAACAGAGAATAGTGTGGCATCTGAAAACAAAGTACATGATAAAAGCCCTTTGATGTTATCACCTGTGAATTTGGCCAAACAAAATTATTTGTCTGCTACGCCGAAGACTCCTCGAATTGAAGATTGCCAATCAGATTCAAGGCTTGAGTCTCTTCCCATGGATTTATTGGTATGGTTAATGCACATTTTCTTTCTTTGAAGTTCAGCACTGGTAGATCTATATCTTTAAAATCACGATTTCATATGGTGTTTTGTCCTGCTTGACTGTCCTGAGTATTTTTACTTCATTATTTTGTTTATTACCAAGGGTAGCATATTATTACAAAGGGTGTCATGTTTGACTGTCTTGTGGATTTAAAAGCACGTTATACCTTATTCATCACCTGTTTCCGTTTTTAAGGAGCCCTATGAAGCGATATGTGCTCTTATCATCAGCTCCCTTTCTTAAAGATTTGCAGGGGTCATTCATATTATCGTTCTTTTTGATGGACTCGTTTATTGGCTGTTTCTCTTTAGTGTTTAAGAATGTAAACTTATGTTTGCTGGTTGTACCGTTGAATGAGTTCACAGGATTGTGTTATAATCTAAATGGCAGTATTTATTAATATTGACGGGGCTTAGGGTATTAATTAACCTACCAAAGCTGCACTATCTTGAAAAAAAACTGCACGAACACGTGCACTCAGCCTTTGTTGTTCCTTTTCCGGAAAAAACAGAGAAAGAAAAGAGGGATAATAAGTTTAAATTACATTGGATTATGGACAGACATACCCCTGCACACAAAGCTATAAAACTAGATGTTAGTAGATACTGTGAATCTCGTTTTTTTCTCCGTTTGGCATTTTACTCGTCCAATTAGACTATTGCAGTCACCTGTGCATGCATTGCCATTTTCAAGTGCTTTTATCTCAATCTGTAGCGCTGACTCCCCTTTCTTTCGCAATTTGAGGTCAAAATATTGTGCCATTTGCACCATGACCAACTGAAGGCAGTCTTCCATGTTTCTCAGAGGATTAGAAAAGCAGTAAGTCTGTCTTTCTACTGTTGGGTATTTCTTGCCTTGAATGGTTGCTCTGTACAAGTGGTTTGGTTGTTTGCAATCTTGACAGTGGTCATCATCTGTTCTGTGTTATACAAGGTTTTGATTGCAAGGCAATTCCACTTCAATTATACCACCCCAGATCGCTCCCGCCAGGAAATGTTATGTACAACGACTCCTTGTCCCTCTGAGCATTGGCCTTTTCTGTGGTAGGCATTTAACGCTTACAGTTAGTTTTTCTTGCATTCTTGTGCATGTGTTTCTGATTGTGCACTTCAATTGTAGCAAGGGCGATGGGAAGGGTATGAAGATTTCAAGTCCGCATGCGCCTAAAGCACCCAGACATGGACCACGACCACCTTCTCGCCTAAAAGTTTCCGAGATGCGGCAGGTTGCAGTTGTCCTTTTCAAGGAGTCAGCATTCCCTTCTCGATGTATGATGCCATCAGTTTTACCAAAACCCCTATCCAAAAGCTTGGCTTCTAATCGAGTTCTGTTCTATGAGGATGAATTATGTCAGGCTGTTGCTCAGAATAAACTTCGCTGATGTAATCCTGCTATATATACATACAAATCTTTTTCATCGCCTCATGCTTTTCTACTGTGTATAGTTTCCCTGGCTCTAGTTTCTACAAGCAGTAGCAGTAAGAATAACAATAATCCAATATTTGTGTATAGTTGCTTTATCCTAGTTTCTTTTGTGGCCTTTTGGTTGGGGTGTATATTTCAAAGGTCTAAAATGAGGAAGGTTATGAAATAGACGTGGGGTTACTTTATATGTTATCAATACTTGTGTATGTCAAAACATTTGCTAGTTTCTGCATGGACAATTAGTTGCTCTTTCACGTTGGTATGAAATGCAGTTGTGTTCCAGTACACGCATTTCCTGCGTATCGTAATGTTTCCTCACACCAAAAGGAAGCCGAATACTTTGCATAAACTTATTCAAGGTATTGCGTTACCTTTTAGAAATGTAACCAAGAAAAAAGTTGAAATTTGAAGAACTTCCATAGGAGAGTGTTTCTACATAAATATCTGTTCAAGAGGTTGCATTTTGTTGCAATGCCAAATACGAGTCAAGATGCATAAATGCTTCAGGATATAATTCGGTTATTGGGTAAGGGAACACGAAAGAGAGACTGAGTTGCTAGAAAATCAAAAACCATAATGAAGTAGCGGTTTCAATTAAGAGTGGAAATTTTTTCTAGAAGAAGTCCTTAATTTTATCTTCAAGCACCAGAGAACTAAGGAGATGATACGCCTTCTCTGTAGGATGGTAGCTGTCCCAGAATATGTAGTCTGAGGAGTTTGAACACGTATTTATGCTGTAAGGGTTGCACAAGATGCCTACCTCTATGTATCCTGTTCCGCAGCACCCTTTGTTTGTCACTTTAAAACCTGAAACGCCACCAAAGTAATCAATGGATCAACTTGTTTACAATCTGCAACTCTCACCTTTTGGTGGTAAGGTAAGAGTATGAAGGATTACCATATATAAATGGGTTTTGAAGAAGTGTAAGCAATGGGTTGTAAACATCAAGATAGACAAGCCTAGATTCTGGAAACTTCCTGTTAAGGGCACCCATTTCAGAAGTGAGCTTGGAGTTGAACAGAAATGCTGCTATGTTTGCATTGTATGAACATCCTCTCAGGTTGCCTCCTTCAATTGTTCTCTGTGACGGCATGCACCCTATTGCTGTTATACCAAATACTCCAATTCTTCTAGCACCTATTCCATAAAGCTCCTGCTTTCCACTCATTTTTAATTTTTTTCCCCGTTATAATATACAGCATAAAGCTTTGTCTAGTGGATCGAATACGAAAGCACACACCTGCAAGAAGTTTGATGCTTGTGCAGCCATCAAGTCTGTATATGATGGAATGTCATACTGGAGTCGCCTGATTGGTGTTTGAACATAAGTATTGGCAATGTCATCGCTTCCTGTGCAGACTATATATATGCTCTTTGATATTATAATTGCCGTTTTGCTTTCCCCAACCTCATCCTTGATCTTCTTTATGTACTCCTTGAACATGTTCAGCTGATCTGATAACGGAACTACAGCCTTTTCCAACAAACAGAAAGTCAACTAAAGTAAGGTTTATGATATCCTTAACAAAACTATAAAACACATGTTCCTTAGATGCTTGTCATCAAATGTTTGCAAAAAATGATAACTTTGAAGGAGTTTCTTCCTTCTTAGCATCGCATTACTAATTGCTTAAGATATTATACTTTTCATGCCATAATTTTCTGGGCGAACTCTAACTAATTCAGACACCTAAAAAATGTTATGCAGGGTTAGTCATGTACCGCTAATTCAGCAGTGAGAGGGTCATATCCAGCACCACCAGAGGCGAAGCTCACACCGGTGAGGAGGTCTTGGAGATTCAGGCTTGGATCCAGATAAGCTGGCAAAAGCTTCTTGACACCAAATTTTCCAGCTGAGAGAGCAGAAGAAGAAGCGTGTGAGAAAAATGAGCGAGAAAATATCCATTAGTTTCTGTACTGGTATTAAAAAAATGAAAAATACAAATGGCACAGCACCTATAAAGTCTGAGGGGACTAAACCATTGCTAAACCTCCCAGTTGGACGATTTCCCTCAGCAAAATCTCTACCGTATGGTGGGAAATTGCACTTGACTAGAGTGCTGATGTAATTGTTGTTTCCTGGATCAACTATGGAGTCTCCAAAAGCAAAGACTGCTGGTATAGTTTCATTGTTTGGCAGACTCATCGCAGAGCCATTTTGTTCAAAGATGATAGCTACGGCAGAGAACCAAAGAATGACTGAAGTTATTTGAGAAAGAAGCTTCTGAAATAGAGGATCCATGTTAAAGTGACTTGACACCACGTAAATGAACTTCTGTTGTTTTGGATCCTTCTGAGTGTTTTTTGGGGGGAGAACTTAATTTATTGGATTATCTCAGATACTCTGTACATTAGAAATAAACGTAAATTTGCATCTATTAGTAATGCTATTTTCCGTCACAAGATTGTACTCTAACGAAATCCAATGTTTGACGAGTATTATGTGACACACTCTTCATCCGTAAATAAAGCCTGCTCATTAATTAATGGAAAATAAAGAGAATTATTTGACAACATTTCATGCAGAGCGGCTGAATCACAAAATCTTCATGCTGCCTCTCGCGTGATTGAACCTCTGCTCATTCCAACGTGATTCATATATCCTCTATGACTCATATATACTATCATCCGGGCACCAAATGGTTTATAAAATTAAAACTAATGCATTAATATAAATAAGAAAGTAAAAAAGTTTTCCAATAATTTTGAAATAATATTTGTTTAAATTTAGTGACCCTCAAATTTGACCTTTCTGTAGATATTTAAATTCATTTTTTAAGTGTGTGGATATTTTGTCAACCCAAAAGAATGGTATCTTGTGTATGTTTTTTGTGTTTATTTTGCATTGATTGTAAAAGATTTTGAATCAAAAATTTTGTGAAATCCTTACCATATGCCCATTTAGTTCTATTTTATAGGACAGACAGAATATTTATTTTAATCTTATTTATATGTCACTTCTATAATTTTTGCATCCATCTTTACTTTTCTACTTCTATTTAATGTTAGAAAGGTTATTGAATATTAGAGTATTTTATTTTTAAAATACATATTTAAAAGAAATAAAGTATTGAATTTTTAAATAAAATTAATAAAATTTAATTTTTTTTATTTTAATGAAGCATATTAAAAGTGATTTATAAATAAAATTGAAAGGAATAAATCTTAACTCAACCAAGTTTTCTTTAATTCAATTCCTATTCTATCTTTACAAGTCCATCCCCCCTTTCCTCTCCCCCTTAGGCCCTTACTCCAGATGTGACGTGAACTTTTGTTGGGGTAAATTATAATTAAATTTGATTTTAATTCCAACTATGCATTCGCTCTAATCCTTAATATAATACAAAAGATGAAGTTAGAATAATCATTTTTTTAATTTTTCCCTTCATTTATTTATTGTGATTTGAATTCTTAAACAATTTATTATGGTTATTAGTTGTAAAGAAGGATAAAATTAAAAATTTACCATTCTTTTATAATTTCAATTTTATACCCAATATTTCTTAATAAGTGTGGAATTAGTTAACTTCATTTTATATTAGGGATCATGTAGTACTTATCTAAACTCAAAACATGCAAATATATATTATCATTTTTCTTGGAGATACAAGAATTCAACAAATATTTTTTTATATTTACAACTGAGAAATTTGAGTTCATGGAGAGAAAATCATTTTGATGAAATAAAATTTTTTATCCCCATACTTTCATTATCAATCTTGTCTTTGTGGTTTTATAATCATACAAAAGTAAACTTTGTGATTTGAAAACAATATAAGAAGAAAAAAATAAAACTTAAATACTTAACCTTATATACTCAATAACTTTTATTCAATTAAATAAAGACAAGTAATTCATGCTATGAGAAATACCTAAGTAGACCAAGTACATCACGTCATTTGTGATTTATCCAATTAAAATGCTTCAAGTAATTTAAATAAAATCTCGTGCGACATTTTTTAAATTAATTTTATTTTTATAACAAAATACACATTTGATTTTTTACCTTTTTTCTTTCAACTATCATTAATATCATAATCAATTTATATTCCATGCCATTTAAATATCATGTTTTTATTGGACAGGCTATAAATGATGTGATACACTCAATCTATTTAAGTATTTTTGTTTTCATACTTGTAATAACAAAAGTTTGTTACAAAATAAATAATCAATAACAGATCTACATATTTTAGTTTAATTAAAAATAAGAAACTTAATATAAAACTAAATATATAATGTTTCTTTTAGCTAAGAGTCCCTTGGGTCAATGGCACCCCACACTTTTTAAAAGAGAGAGTTTGTAAATTCTATGTCCCATACGGTGAGGGGTAAAAAAAAATCTAAACTCACTTTTCCCAAAGTAAACCATGTTCGTTTTTCCTACTGTCATATTCAAATCATAAAGAATACTTTTGTATAATTACAAACTTACATAGATGTAATTAATAATGAATAAATTATATGAACCAAATTAATAAGTGAGGAAAGTTTTAGGAACTAAAACTTACATTTTTCCAATCATTCATCTTAAATTCAGTAGTTTTCTCTTCCCTTTTCTTTTATGTCGAGACCATTCATCTTCGTAGATAAATGCAAGTGACTAAAAAATATAAGAGAAAATAGCATTTCCACCCTACTCCTAAAACCAACAACAGAATACAAATAAATTAATTGTATGTATGTATGTATGTATGTATGTAAGCAAACAAGGTTGTTCTCCTAACTGGGAGATCCCAGTCTATTAATACATAAATCAAAACAGCAAGTTAAGGAAAAAGGTGGGGAACAATGAAGTGTAAATTTGACAATTAGAGTTCACAGCAATTCCTAGAAAGTAAAGAATCAAAACCACCTTGTGCTCCGAGAAGATCTAGAGCACCGTCAGACCAACACCCACATAGATTTTCGCTTCCTCGGCTGCAAAATGAAAGATTAAAGAGCAACAAGGGCAGGGGAACAGGCGGAACAGAGAGGGCTGTCCAATGTTTACACCTAGTAAATCATAATATGGAACAAGCCTTCGCTTTATTTTTCTTTTTTTTCTGCTTTGGTGGTTGAAGAACAACTTTTATGGCTTGATCGAACACTGCCTTCACATTCTGCAGTGAAGTCCACAGCAAATCTTTAAATTTAGACATTCAAATTTACTCGTCAGATGAAAGTCAATACCAGACTCGACTAATACCTGCTGGGTTTTTGAACTGCATTCAATGTAAGCAGGAGCGTTGATAAGCTTCCTAAGCTCTTCTCCCTTGGATGAAATACAATGTCAATTTTTCTTTTTCTCCTTTTGAGTAAAAGGCTTCCAGAGATGTCCTAAATGTAAACAACATTAACAAGCAACAATAATCATATTTACCTGAGCCGTGGTAATTGGTACAGCACCTGGATGGTCTATGAAGAACTGCTTATCATCCCGAAGGTCTGCCGCAGCAAAAAATTTCAACACAACTCAGCTAAATAACTGGTAAAACCTCTTTACGTCACATGATCCAAATCGTCCTCATAATTTTTTTGAGTACACAACTCTATTTTAAAATTTATTTTATATAAAACAAAGTGCATGCTACCCCCAAAAAAAAAAAAAAAGCCAGCACAAATTAAGACAAGCCATAGCTAGCGCTCCACTAAACCATACAAAGGCAAACAAATATTCCTCTACATAAAAATTTAAATGTGCAAAATAAAGCACTCTTATGAAGAGCAACAATTTAACACATTAACCTCACCCAAGTTTGGCTCCAACTCCACCCCACGTTCCCTATTCACAAGTTCCCTTCATACAAAAAGAATCCATAGCCACAAGCAAATAAGAAAGTCACCACGAAAATATTTTAAATTAAATTGTTACACATCTGAATATAAAGACTGCCTAAAAGGCTATCTGTAAATTCACACACCATAAGGACAGCAATCAAAGTTGCAGTCCCTAAAAATTACAAGATGAAGAAGAATGATATAAACATCATTAGTATAAGCCAAACGCTGAAACATTTTCAGTGAATGGAAAATTCAGCCTCTGAACCACAACTGAGCAATACCAATCTTCTGAGCATTTTGGATTTGATAAATTCTCCTTAGACCAAAAAGCTACACAGTCAAGCAAGACAGCTGAGACCTCTAGCATTGCACTAGAATCCCCAGTGTGTTCAATCTAGTTATTCTCACAAAGAGGAAAAAAATAAAAAGAAAATAAATATAATATTGACATGTTCGGTGATTAAAAGTGTCTAATTATTTGTTACTGATGCTAGGAGGAAGGATAAAAGGGGTATAACAATCCAAAAATTGGCAACGTCAACTATTCAAGGAATAAATGGAAAGAAAAAAAATCCAGTAGAAAGGCACTAAAAGAACCAGGAGTTCTCAGCTGCCATCTGACAAGTAAGAACCTATACAACAGTTCATCACTGGAGAAAAATGAACATCACAAAACATTATAAATCATCCATGTTATTGATATTGGACAGTTCTAAAGACATTAATCAAGAAGTTGACCAATAAAAAATAAGAAATTGTATGTAACCATAATAACCGAAAGAGCTGCTAAGATTAATAGTTTATAAGCTGCAAGGAAGCAACTAAAAAGTCATACTATTCATATAAACTCACCAAGCTTTGTGCCAACCAGAACTATGGGGACACCAGGTGCATAATGCTTCAACTCTGGAATCCACTGGAAATGAAACCAAAAAATTAACAATCTGGATAATCTTATTAAAAAGATAAAAGTAAGTTCAGTATATTGTTCATTGCAGATCATAATGAAGCCAGTGATATTAATGTTCCAATAGATAAGCATGAGAGAATTCAAACAATGAAAAAACCTAGCAGATGATGCTTCAACTCCCAAATACAGAGGAACATGGTACCTTTTTGGAAACATTTTCATAACTGGCTTTGCTTATGAGAGAGAAAGCCAGTATAAAAACATCAGCACCACGGTAACTCAAAGGTCTTAATCTGTTATAATCTTCTTGCCCTGTTCCACATAACAATAAAATAAAAATCCAGAAAGAAGTAGCAATAAAAAGTTGCAGCGAAAAAAAGTAACTATGCAGCATTACCAGCAGTGTCCCACAAACCCAAATTAACAGTGCTTCCATTGACAACCACATTTGCACTGAAATTGTCGAAAACAGTTGGCACATAATCCTGTTCATGAGCACATGTAAAAAAAAAAAAAAAGTAAAATGATAATGTTCTCCTTTTTCAAGTTAGCTTACAAATATGAGATCAACACCGAACCTTGCAGATTATCCATTATAGTGTGTCATCAAAATATGCTTCTACTTTAAAAAGGTAATCAAAACACCACTTCATGGATTCTCATTCCTTTCAAATAAAAGGGCAAGGATCATTTGT